TCCTACATCAATAATACTAGATTCAGTTTTGGTTTCAAATTTACTTTGTCTGCAAATAAGATTGCTACCCCTGTTGTTTTTTTTTTTTGGCCCCTGTCACATGGAGAATTGTTTTCTATCTTTTTACTTTCAGTCTATGGGCTTCTTTTTGCACTAGGTGTGTTTCTTGTATACAACATATTATTGGATTTTGCTTCTTATTCCATTTTGCCAGTCTATTTCTCTTGATTGGTGAGTTGAGGCCATTGACATTGCTGGTTATAACTGATATGTACTGACTTATTATTGACATGTTATTGGCCATTTGTTGACTCTTTTTACTTTTTCACCTTCTCCTTTTAATTTCTTGCCTTGCCTATTTGATTTGCTCTGTTGGGCCTCATGGTGTTTTTGCCTTCATTGTCTTTTTCTAGGATCTTGTTTAGAATTGCTTGTAGTGCTGGTTTGGTGTTCATGTAGTTTCTCAGGTGTTCTTAGTAGTGGAAGTGTCTTATTTCCCCCTCCATTTTGAAAAAGAGTTTGCTGGATACATCAATCTAGGTTGGAGGTTGTTCTCTTTTAGTACTTGAAATATCTCATTCCAGGCTCTCCTTGCCCCAAGGGTTTGTGTTGAAAAGTCTGCTGTGATTCTGATGGGCTTTCCTTTGTATGTGATTTGCTTCTTTTCTCTTACTGTTTGTAGTATTTTGTTCTTCTGTTGGGTTTCTGGGATCTTGATTATTATATGTCTAGGTGTAGATTTTTTTTTAATTGTAGCTAGTTGGGGTCCTATATGCCTCAGTTATCTGAATGTCAAATTCTTCCCCTCTGTTTGGGAAGTTTTCTGTCATTAATTCTGCAAACAGCTTTTTTAAGTCATTTGTATTTTCTCCTGCTACTTCATGTATTCCTATCAGTCTTATGTTATTCTTCTTTGCATCATCTAGGAGTTGTTGGATCGATTTCTCATGATCTCTTACTGTTTTTAAGAGACCTCTCTTTTCATGGTCACTGACTGCAATCTTATCTTCTATATCTGAGAGCCTATCTTCGCATTCTTTTATTCTGTTGCGTACACTTTCAATAGAGTGTTTAATCTCCTGGATATCTGTTTGAATCTGTTTTATGGATTCCATTTCTTTCCTATGTTGGGCGTTTATTTTTTCCATTTCTTTCTTATGCTGGGCCTTCATGGCTTCTATCATGGTCCTGAGCTCATCTATTTTTTTGTCAGTTTCTGCTCTAGAGTCTCGAATCACGACTTCCATTTTGCTCACTATCTCTATGGTTATCTGGGAAATTATTTCTGTTTTGAATTTTTCTAGAGCCTGATTGATCTGTTTTGTTACTTCCTGTGCTTTGAGTTCAGGGTGCCCTGGTGGTTCACTATCAGCCTTTTCATCCTCATTTGCCCTACTGTTTGCCATTGGTGAACTGGAAGTCTGTCCTTGTGTCTTGCTTAAGTGTTTTCTCATTTTAATTTTTGTTGTCGGACTGTCCTTGGTTTAATCTCTGGATTATCACCCAAATCTTCCTAATATAGTTGCACCCTAGCTTCTGTATCTGTAACAACCCCCAGACATTCTCATCTTCATAACATCATAGAAAACAGCTCATCAAATCAACGGCAATGCTTTACCCCAACTGATACAATCACCAACACATTAAGATCAAGCACAACTTGGACACTGACCACCTGTGGTAGTCACTAGTCTATCGCCCTTAAATCATTTAAATTAAATTGAAATCAAGAAGCAGTCCAGAACATGTCTGCAGTGAACAAACTTTTCAATATAGTATATTTACCATTTAATGGCTCAGACAGAGCGAGGATGCAAGACCCCTGATCTCAGTTAGCTGATGGCTGAACCCCCTGAAGCTGACTGACCTCGGGCTGCAAGGCCCAGATTGAGTTCCCCATCCTTCTGAATGGTTGAACTCCACAACATTCTATTACAGGTTTCTCACGCCCTTTCTTTAAAGATGGTCAAAGTTGGGAACTCAGAAAAATACTCGTGATGACCACCTCTGTCTTTGCAGAGTGGGTCCAAAGACTTGCACAGTCAGGAGGTCTGAGAGTGCGGGGGGGGGAATTATGGGGGTTCAGGGGCACCCATGTGGCTACCTTCCCAGCACTTGAGCGATGGCTGCTGGGTCAGGAGCAGGCATGGTTCTCTAAAGACCATATTTTAAATGAATTTGATAATCTTTAGTAATGTGATCATCTATAATCAAACATTTTACTTAAATTTCCTTCTTCATTATGCTGTAAGAATGTCCAAATGATTCAAGGAGTTTGCAAAAATTATATGTTATGGTGAAAGGAGTTTGGGGTTAAAAAAAATTAAAAAGTATTGGACCATGGAGATAATCAGTCACCAGAACCATTTTTAACACCAAAAAATGTGTGTGTGTTATTAGCAAAATCTTATTATTTACTGTCCCTCAGGAATTGCTCTCAGTCTGACCATGTAGCAAAGACAATTTCTCTCTCCCCCTATTGAATCCCTTGAGGGTGCACATGCCTGTTAGACTGAGATGCCTATGGGGTAGAAGCCCACCCTGCTACAGCTGCGACTAGGGTTAGACTGTGCAAGTATGGGTGTCAACAAGAAAGTCGAGACTTGGAGAATGCATGGCAGTGACTTGGGAGAAAACCCAGCAAATGAGAGCTCTTCTTTCCTCCCTTACTCCCTTCCTTTTTTCTCCCCACTCCCTCCCAGGAGCCAAATGGCTGTGGAGAAGGAATGAACCAGACATGTTTAGCAACATTCTTTAGGCAGGAGTCAAAAGCATGCTAACTTTGTAATTGCAAAGCCACTTTAGAGTGCCCGTATCAGTGACTTAGTTCATTTATGGCTTATTTTAAGAAATGCTACATCATCAGCTTCTTAATATAGAGGATGATATCACAAGTAAATACAGACATCAAAGAGTTTGAATCAAACGCTGAATGTGAAAAAGTTTTAGGAATATCTAAGTAAATTTGTTTTTATTCAATTTGTATTTTTGCATATATAAGCATATGATATATGATAAAGTAATCAATGTCTAATTTAATTTATAACAGCCCTTCAAATAAATATAAAATAAACATTCTCATCATGTTACAATTTAAATTGCAGAGTTTTGGGAAGGAATTGGGTTTCTGTAGGGAGATTAAACCCAGAGAGCACCGAGATGCATCCCCAGCCCTTTTAATTTTTTATTTTGAGGCAGGTATACCAAATTGCTGAAACTGGCATCAAACTTGTGATCCTCCTGCCTGAGCCTCATGAGTAACTGGGATTATAAATCTGTACCATGCACCTGGACTTTTGTGTATGTGTGTTTTAAGGGGTTGCAATCTCTGTTAATTTTTCTTTAACAATTGTGATTGACAATAATCATAATACTTATGAAGTAACTTATAGGGTCTTCAGTTTTTTCTATTGTACCCACAGTAATGATACCACTTATAATGATAGCATCTGAGATTCAGTTTAGAAGGCTTTGCAGTTTAGAATCAGTAGTTTCCCATGTTTTCTATAAAATGGACAGCTAATAAACTTGAATGGCCTAAAATGTTTGAGAACTATACTCTTTCTAAATACTGCTGGCTTTGTTTCACTTTAACAAAAAGCTACAAGCTATCCTTACTTTCATTTCACATATGGACTACTTTTTCCTCTCTCTATCTCTCTCTCTCTCTCTCTCTCTCTCTCTCTTTTTTTTTTTTTCTCTCTCTCTCTCTCTCTCTCTCTCTCTCTCTCTCTCTCTCTCTCTCCTTTCTGTCTTTCTCTCTGGCTTGAACTTAGGTAGTGCTGACCTATAATTCCCAGTCCTTTTACTTTTTTTATTATTATTATTATTCAGACAGTCTCACTAAGTTGCCCAGGTTGGCCTCAAATTGCAATCCTCTTACCTCAGTCTCCCAAGTAGCTGGAATTACAGGCACACACTGCTGTACCTGGCTTCCCAAGACTTAGCAGCATGCGACCCCTATTTAAAAGTCCCCAAAATATTTCTTGGTAGGAGATTTCCAGTGATTCCATTTTGCATGTACCATTTCCTTGAAGCTGTCTTGTTTCCTCTGCTAGGGGTGCAGGCTGCATCTTTATTGAAATGTTCCAAGGTCAGCCTTTGTTTACTGGAGTTTCCACCGTCTTTGAACAGCTGGAGAGGATCTGGGAGGTAAGAGAAAAATTCTTAAGAAAAAAAGAAACATCTACTTGTCAAACTTTGAACCAAACTTGCCTTCTACACAAGCGACACAATCCATCTGCTTCAAGACATGGAGCCATATGCTAAGCTCATAAAAACTGTAGTATTTGCCACAGGGATAAGCACATTAGGGATGAGTGGTGAGTAAAATGCCTACTGTCCCATAGCGGCCCCTGAAGCCACCCCATTTGACAGTTGGGTCTCCTGTTTCCTAGAATTATTATTGTCTCAACCACTCGAGGCAGTTTCTGCCATTACTATTTATTTAGGCCATACTGCCTTATCACCTCAGCCTTAATTCTACCATATATTTGGCTCTGGATTTTCATCAACTGAATTAGAACACCCAGTTTTTGTAGAACCCTGATTAAACAGAGACTTCCATGTTAGCGTGAAAGAAGTACACTATTCATCACACCCATTTACAACCAAATGCCTATGTAGCAGGGGGCATATGTGTAATTCTGTTTCTTTCATTAGTTGTCTCTACCCAATTAGTTGTTCATTTTATCAGTAACTTTCCTCAATCTTGTTCCTTGTCTTATACCTAAAAAAAAAAAAAATTCTTTGGGAAATGACACTGTGTACAGATTAATCACTGGCAGTAAAGTTTCTTTTGGAAACATGAGGAATATTTAAAAACATGGAACAAACTGGGAAGCATTCAAGAATTAAAACATTTCTCCAACTTTTCTTAGAATTATTTTTAGCAAGACAGATGAATGATACCTTTAAACATATCATTAAATGGTGTAACATCATCTAAGCTGGAAACAGCTTATAGTCATGACTTTGGAGTCAGAAGACCTGTGTTTCAATGCTAGCCAATTTCTAAATGTGTGTTTGGGCAAATTATGTAGTAAATCTGAACTTTAGTTTCTTCATCTGCAAAATGACTTTCTCACCCTGCTATGAAAATTTCACAAGATCAAATGTGTACCACACTCCATGCACTTACATAAGTGCTCTATAAATAAATTTGCTTTCTTCTCTATATTAAGCTGTTATAGGGATGTTTCAATAACTCAGTTGCTAAAAAGCATTACCTGATATCTAACCTAACTGTATCTTTCTTCCATTTAGTGGAATTACTTCTTGTCCATAGTAGAAGAAGTGTAACTAGCTCTTCCTGGACCTCACACTGCAATGATTTTTTATACATTTAAAAATGTTTGCACTTATTTAATACTTATTAGAGAGAGAGAGAGAGAGAGAGAGAGAGAGAGAGAGAGACTTTTCAGGGGCTTATAAAAACCAACACGTTATGGAAGAAAGTACGAAAAATTCAGGATCTGTGTTTTCAAGTGTTGTTAAGTCCTGGTGGGGTCATGGATTAATAATATATGTGGAACAAACATACACTGTGTATATATGTTTTTAAAATGTATATATAGATACCTAATGTAACTTGTAATACAGAAATAAGATGTGCTATTAGGATATTTCAAAAGCAGTATATTTTAAAGGAATGTATATGCTATTGGTGTTTGAAGAGTTATGTATAACTGCTTTTTTAAAATATTGTATACTATTTCAATGACCACACATTTAGAAAGCAATTGTTTTACAATTCTTTGAATTTGGCATAGCACTTAGAAATCACAGAACAGAAAGAGTGTGCTAAATGTTTACTGGAACTTGATGACCTTCTGATTCTTAGTTTAAATTTCCAGATCTGACCTTGGTAACTGATGCTGGCCACCTAAAGGATGTATTAGGTTATTCAGTGATAAAAATGTTAGACGCGCATCTGAACATAAAGTAGCAAAAACTGAGTGACAGGGCAAAGGCAAACGTGTCTTAACACATCAGTCCAACAGTTTCTGCCCAGGAAGTCACATTCATGTTTACCACTATCTTTATCACTATAGTAAATCAAAGGGACTTTATTTTGACATTTATAGCAACTCATTACAAATTAAAACAACTACATGTATTCAAAGCAACACTGCCCTGAAGGCAGGAATCATGAATTCTGAACTCAGCTCTAACTTTAGGTATGAGGTAGAGCAAGTCTGTATCCAACCTTCCTGGGTTACAGATTCTTAAATTGTATTTGATTCTCGGGCTCTGAAAAGTTTTGATTTTTGTAAACAAAGCAAAGAGAACATGGGAGCTCCTACCATTTATAATCATGTTTTTCTCTATCCATTATATCTTTCCCCCTTGGTTATTTCTCAAGTTTATGTAGTTGCCTAGCTCATGTTAACTTTCTGCCTGAGCTTCAGAGAAATAGTGCTACATTGGCTAGATATGTATTATGGGCACCAGGAGATCAAGTTCATTAAATCTCATTTTCTCATGGTTCTATCCACACAGCTCTGTCATCATCTGTAGTTCCACACTCTGAGGAAAAAAATATGAAATCAACACATTCCACAGCTTTACTATTTTCTATATTACTATGTCTCAAGCAGGATAGAATTTTTTTCCTAGTGCAGTGACTGACCTATAATAGGTACTAAATAATAATAATAATAACAATTAGAAGTTGTATTTCACTTTGGTCTCCATATATAAAATATAATGGTAACTGATATGTATTACCAAAACTCAGGCCATGAAGGAAGCCAAGAAGAGACTATTTAACTGTTTATTCAAGATTTTTGTTTTTACAGGTGAGGAAATAATGTCCCAGTGTAGTTTCAACATACCCAAGGTCACACAGATGAAGTTACAGCAAAAATTCTACAGAAAAGAAAAGCTTGGTGGGATGTGGGATGAAGCCACTAATGTTATATTTGATGACATCACAATGTTTATACAAAGCTTATCCATTTGGCTGTATTACACATCTGAATAACAGTGGGTATGAGCCTTGAGTCTGAACTGATTTTTTATTTTATAATTGACAAATAAAATCTGTATGTATTTATTATGAACATGATTTATTTTTATAGTGCTGAGGATGGAAGCTAGGGCTTTGCACATGCTAAGCAAGGGTGCTAACATTGAACTACAGCACCAATGTGAAGTTTTAAAATATGCATACATTGTGCAATGACCAAGTTAAGCTAACTAACATATATAACACTTCCCATATTTATCCTTTTCTGTGGTGAAAATGAAGTACTTAAAGTCCCAGTGACTTTCAAGAACACAAAACATTATTATTAACTATAGTCTTCATGTTTTACTATAGAATTCTCAGACTTATTTCTCATATCTAATTGAAAATTTTTATCCTTCAAGCAATAATTCCTCCCCATCCACCCCACAGTACTTGGTAGCCAGCTTTCTATTTTCAGTTTCTATGAATCCAACTTCTTTAGATTCCACATAGAAGTGAGATCATGAAGCATTGTTCTTTCTGTGCCTGGCCTACATTACTTAACATAATATCTTATAGGTTTTATCTATGTTGCCACCAATAATAGGATTTCCTTCTTTTATAAGGCTAAATAGTACCCCATTTTGTTTATGTACATTTCTTTATCCATTCATTTGTTGATGGACACTTAAGTCAGTTTCATAACTTGGTCATTATCAATAATGCTGCAGTGAACACATGACTATAAACATCTCTTTTACATATTAATTTCATTTCCTTTGGAAACACACCCACTACTGGGATTATTGGATCATATGGTAGTTTCATTCTAATTTGTTGTAGAACCTTCATACCAAACTTCATAATGGTGTACTAGTTAACATTTCCATCAACAGAATGCAAGAGATTACCTTTTCTCCATATCCCACCAATACCATCTTTTGTTTTCAAAAGAAGCCATTCCAACAGTCATGAAGTGATATTTCTATGATCCTAACCAGAATTAACTGTGGTCCTAACCAGCATTTCTCTGATGATTAGTGGTGTTGAACGTTTTTTATGTGTTTGTTGGCCATTTGTATGTCCTTTTTTTTTTTAGAAATATTAATTGAGATTCTTTATCTATTTTTTAATCAGGTTATTTGTTCAGGTTTTTAATCAGGCTATTGAATTCTTTGAGTTTTTTATATACTTTAGATATTAACCTTTTATTATGTGTGGTTTGCAAACATTTTCTTTTATTACATAGGTTGCCTCTTTATTATTTCCTTTTTAATTTTTTAGCTTTTTAGTTTGTTAGCTTTTTAAATTTATTCAGTCCCATTTGTCAGTTTTCCATTATTGGTGTTTGTGCAATAGGTTAAAAAATCAAACAGATTACAATTAGTCCCTGAATTTATGTTTTACTAAATGTGGTTTGCATAGATAAAAACAGGAAAGCTATTTCAGGGTCTATGATATTTGATATAAGAATCATTTCTTTGAAATCAATGGGCCTATTCTAAATTTCCCAACCTATAACCACATTTTTCCTCTACAATTACCCTCAGAGCTCATTCTTAGGAACAAAGACAAAATGAGAAGTCTTAAATCTTTATTTTAACTATCTTTCTGGTCTATGGAAGTATGTGTGTAAACACAAATTTATGTGTTTACATCTAAATAATAACTGTCAATGGTTTTTAACCAGTTTTTTAAAATCTAATTTTTCATTAAGTATTTTTGTAAATAATCCCTGATTTGGTTCTAAAATCAGAATAAACTATGCAGACTTTAAGTATATTAATCAAAATGCCTTTCCTACATTTTCATTCCTACAAAAGCAGATCCATCAACACCCCTCCAGCCACTGTGTTTGAAACACAACCCACTGGCTGTCTTGTTAGTGCCTTCAGGGAGGTGATAAACAACAATTCTTTATATTCAGTTTCCCAAAGGTGAAGGGAAGAATTAATCATTTTCTCAAGTGAAAAAGAATTATCCAACTTTCAAATAGAAACTGAGTATCAAATTTCTAAATAAATGTCTGTTGGACTTTTGTCAAAACTTCTAAAATCTGAAGTTTAAAACTTTTGACATAAGATTTTTCAAAAACTTTGGTATCTATTTTGTAGGCATTAGTTAGACGTAAAACAGAGTTACCAACAAGCCTGGTGGTGTTCACTTTAGAGAAAATATGGATCTGGTTATTACTTATTTCCTGCATTGTTTTCTCTTCATTATCTTTGTTTACTTTTCATTATGCTTTGCCAGCCAACAAAAGATGAATGGGTACCCATGAATGACACCCACTTGTTTACACATGCATCAGTTCAAATACAGAGGATGCTAGGTTAAAAAAGAAGAATTAGCTTCTGTCCTCTGGTTCTCATTCACAAAAGAAGAATTAGTCCAGTTGGTTTTTCAAAATGGATTCCAGGACTCTTAGTGTTCCCTCAGGCTCAGGGTGGTTGATAGAAAAAGCCTATAATCCTCTCAGTTGCTTTTTAGTTTGTTTAGAAAATGGATCAAAGCAGAAGATTTTACTGGGTGGCATGATTTTAAAATATATATTATAAAAGGGAAAACAGCACTTCAGTATCTTTTGTTTGAGGACAAGCTTAACAGGCCCCCTAAAGTACACCTCTCAGCCAGAGTCCTAGTAAGCACACTGATAGATTTAAGATTCTGGGCTCTTCATTGATTATATGCAGTTATGTTGGACAATTAACATTCTGCCATGAAAGTTGTGTCAGCATCTATATTCAGCATTTTACAGGTGGATTCACTGAGCCTTTCCATGAGAGAGGTTTCTCAGGATTTATACTGCGATGTGCTTCTAAAAGAGTTATATTGTAATGGTACAATGGAAGCTGCAGGGCTTTACCAGTATTTCATAAAAAAGTGTTATTCAGACTCCTGGAGACCATGGGCTTTTGTTATTATCTTAAAAGAATGGTAAGATGATACATTTAAGGGAACTTACAATGACACCTCCATCCAAATTCTGTTTTGGCTTTGTGTTCCAAAAGACTTTTATTTTCATAAAACATCTTAATTAAAAACTAGAGCTTCAATTTATTCATCTAAAGCACAGGCCAGTTCTTTTTCAAATGTTACCATTATACTCCACCAATGAAATGCCAAATACCATACTCTAAGCTGCTGGACACAGAGAAAAAAAGAATATAAAATGGGTTTGGTAGAAAGGACTAGGTTAGGGTCAGGTCACTTTTGGCCAGTGTTCACTGCCTAAAGGTCAGTAATTTGAACACTTTTTAATTTGAGCACATCGAGGGACAGCTGAACACTCATGCCCAGGCATAATTTAAGCTGTCAAGTGTCTCCTGTTAGTATGCTGATGGTAATGTGATGTAAGGCAAAGGGATGGTCAGTCCTGTTTCTTTATATCCCTAATTGCCAATGTGACATCCTCATGCATTGGTGATCATGCAATAAATATTTACACATAAGAATGACTTTAAGCCAGGCTGTATCATCTGCATCAGAATAACAATGAGTTTAAACAGTTTTAGGACCATAGAACACACTAGAGCTTGTCCAAGAGACTAAAAATACATACTGTAACATAATAAAATTCTTCTATGTTCCTCTCTGATCTGCCCTTTATGTCTCTGTACCTGCTCCACCAATCTAGTCTGCCCCTTAACCTTTCTTTGTCTTTCTCTGGTTTTACATAGGTGTTGGGAGTCCCTACTGAGGACACCTGGCCTGGAGTCTCCAAGCTGCCTAACTACAATCCAGGTAATACTGACCTACACTTCTTGAACGCTCTGAAAATTGGCAATGTCAGGAGAGCACTGCCACTTAGAGAGTCCATCTTGTATTGTGAACTTAACAGCCAAGATGAATTTCCAGACTGGTGTGTTTCCTAATACTTTTATGAGAAAGACATTAAAATAGTATTTAAGGTTAGATAAGTTCTCTAACTTCAGGTAGCAAGATGAAAAATAATTTAAAATGACTATTACTATGAATTCCATGTCCAATTTCAAATATCTAGTAGCTCAAATGAACAACTCAAGAGATGGTCTGCTTTGGTGCATCCTGAGTATCATTTATTTAGTTTGTTTGCTAGAACATTGAGCCTCACAAAGTATAAAGAGAAAGCTAAAGCATCAGAATGGAGTTAAAGGCCTGCTAGGCCTACAACAAGCCAGGTAAGATGTCTCTAGTTTGCACTTAACAATAATTCACCCTTGGACTCTACACTGGGCACTTTTTCATATAGTTCATCTTCCAAGACTGTCTGTCCATTGGAGATAGGTTTGGAAGCATTACAAGTGTTGTCAATGAGTAAAACCTTTGAGCAGTGATCTTACTAGCAGAGTCACATTACCTAACAATCACCTCAAGGACACAGAAAGAGAAGGGAGGAGACAAATAATGAGCCACGGGTTGAAGAACCATGGAGAAGCAAGTAAAGACCATGCCAAAGCAAGACACTCATTGGCAGAATTAAAGAGAAGACAAACATGCACAGCTAAGGACAAGGTTAGGATGAATGTGCTCCTGGTCAGATTTTCTAGTCTTTACATTTTACATCATCCTATTACTAAACCACACAACTTCCCAACTTGTTGCCTTTACGATATTTAGTATGATACTATCCTGCAAGGGTTTCGTGTTGACAAAAAATTGTAAGAAAATTTAAAATGCAATTAAAGAAGAAAATGAAAGACATGGAAGCCTGGAGGGAGGGCCTTTTTTATTCCAGCATCTAACACTTTTACTCAAAAGCTATGCATGGGGACTGGGCATCTTGAATTGACCAGGTTTATAGAAACCCCAACAGAAGGCCTGGGATTTAGCTCAGTGGTGCCACCGCCTGCCTTGCAAGTGCAAGGACCCAAGTTTGATCCCAAGTAGCAAAAAAAAAAGAAACCCCAACAGAGAGCTGTAAGACTAACTGCACAGTCCTTTCAACTGCTTTATAAGTGATCATATCCATTGTTAAATTACCTTAGAGTCATTTACAAATGTTTACTATTTATAACCTTTTTGCTAGTGTTCAATACCTAAGAAAAATACCACTCTGGCCATAGGACTCCAAGTAGTTCCCTTTCCCCTTTCTTGTGAGATACAGTGAAAAAGTAAAAGCTTTTTGTGACGCCCACAGTCCAGTTTGTAGTAACTCCTGTCTCGAGTTACCAAGGATTCCTGTCTGTTCTTTGTGCACTCTTCTCTCCATTGTGCTAAAAATGGGGCACCTTTCCTTTCCTCAGCTGCTATCATGGACAGAAGTGAAATTTAGAGTCACAGAAAACATTTTGGATTATGTCAATACAAAGTTGCCATGGAGAGCATATGCTCTTCCCTCCCCAGTCTTCAAACATTTCAGTTTCAAGTTGGTCCTGGTAATACATGTAGATCCTTAATACAAAACAGCATGTGGTAAACATGCTGTGGTAAACATGTGGTAAACATGAAAACAGCAGTGGTAAAACCGTGGCCAAAATGCTTCCCTGCCAGATTCTGTGCTAAATAAAAGAACTAGGCTCTAATAGAACAGAAATAAATGTTACATTTTTTTCATTTTATTGTCATGTCAAAGTAATGTGTAATTTTTCACTTATGAAGAAAAATTCTTCAGACTGAATCAATAGGGTTCACAATTTGCATTATTTTTCTAGTAAGGGCTCAATTTAATTCAGATGAGTCAAAAAATGTTGAGCACCTGCTGTCTGCTGCTCACTGTACCTGGTGCTGTGCTATACAAATGGATACGGTGCATGCTCCATCTCTGAAGCTTGGCTCTGATTCATTCATCCATGTTCTTTTGCTGGTTCTCCTTGTTACCACTGTGCTCATTTGTGAGCCCAGCTTCTGCGGGATTGGGAAGCTTGTGGCTGTGGGCTAGGCTGAGCTTATGGAAGGAAAGGAATTGGAACCTTAGCCACAGCTAGGATGTCCAAACATGCCTTTGTAAATCTTTTTTTTTTTTTCCTATGCCTTTGGAAACCTTAAGAATCCAGCACATTGTGGGCATGGGGTCAGTACTATAAACGACCCAGTCATGAGGTCTATGTTGTAAAGAGCCATCGAGATCTGTCCAGGAATATCCCCTATCCATCCATAGCTCCCTCTGCAGTCCCCCACCTACCATCCCTACTCCTGAGCTGCTGCTGCTGCTGCTGCTTCCACACACTTGAATTTCAAGAATGTAAGGGGGGGAAATGAATTTAAGGGGAACTCAAGAGGAGACGGGAGCCAGAAAAATGTTGTCACAGAGAAGAATTGTGTTAACACCATTCAGAACAAGACTTCTGTTCCAGGGCCGGGCGTGTGGTTCAGTGGCACTGCACCTGCGTGGCAAGTGCAAGGTCCTGAGTCCGATCCCCAGTACTGAAAAAAAAAAAATCTTCCATTCCCTTTCTTCTCATTTCAAATAGTAGTAAGAGCTCTTAAACTCTGAATTCAGACAGTCCAATTTTTAAAATGTATTTTTATGTTTAATTAACACATAATACCTATCTATATTTACGGGCTATGGTGTGACATACATGTATGCAATGTGTAATTAGATCAGAGTAATTGATGTATCAGTCGCTTCCAACATTTTCATTCTGTTGTGTTAAAACATTAAAAATTCTCTTGGCTGTTTTACATACTCGATTAAATGTTGCCAACCATAGTTACCCTGCTGTGCTGTAGAACATTAGAAGTCTTCCTCTCCAGCTGTACCTCTGTGACCATTAACCATCCCCTCCCTGATTCTTCCTCCCCCACACCATTCCCAGGCTCTGATAGTGACTGTTGTATTCTTTATGCCTATGAGATCAACTTTTTAGATTCCACATATAAGTGAAAACTCGTAAGCATATCATTTGTCCTTTTGTGCCTGACTTATTTCACTTCACATATCATCCTCCAGTTCCATCTATGTTGCTGCACGTGACAAGATCTCACATTTTTATAACCAAATAGTATTGTGGGTGTGTGCCACCTTTTCTATCTGTCAATGGACACCTAGATTGATTCCATAGCTTGCCATTGTGAATAGTGCTGCAATAAATGAGCAAATGCAGATGTGTCTTTGACACCGTGATTTCAGTTCCTTTGGATATATACCCTGTTGTGAGAGTATAGGATTATATGAAAATTCTACTTCTATTTTTTTTTAGAAACTTCCATACTTTTTTCCATAATGTCTATGCTAATTTACACCTATCAATTTTCATCAGTAGTGTGTGAGTTCTCCTTTCTCGGTGTCCTATCCAGCATTTGTTATTTTTGTCTTTTTTATAATAGCCATTCTAACTCATTAGGGGATATCTTGTTATGTCTTTGCTTTGCATTTTCCTGATGTTCAGAGATATTGAGCATGTTTCTTGTGCTTGTGTTCTGCTTGTGTTTTCTTTCAAGAAATGTCCATTCTGGTCATTGACTCCTTCCTAAGCTGGATGATTTGTTTTTGTGCTGTTGAGTTATTTGAGTCCCTTATGTATTCTTGAACCAGTACGATTTTGGGGAGCTCAACTGCTCTGAACTTGGGAGAACTATCCAGTGTTCATCCATATGCACTCTGCCATTTCAATGCCTTGTGTAGGTTCTGTCTAGGAGGACAGCACAGTTTTTGTCCAACTTATGTGCAGGTTTTTAAAGCTCAACCAGGTGCTCACTTAGCTGTGAGGGTTCCCTGCCACTCACCTTTTACTGGGGCTCTTGTCAGGGTAATAGGTGTTCTAGCCATCAGGGCAGACTCTTGTGCCCCATCAAATCTGGCAAGGTGAGAGAGGGGGCATCAGTTTTAAAACTGGCTCCTTCATTCTTGTCTTCCTTCCTTCTTCCCTTACTTTCTCCCCCACTCCCCAATTTAAGCAAGCTGACTGAGAACTCTGTGTCCTCCACTTCAAAGGGCCAGTTGTCTTATTTTGATGTGGGCAGATTGAGAAGTAGGCTTTGAAAAGTAGGCCTTTTTTGTTTAATCTTTTCTCCTGGGATAGCTTTCAGAGCAATATATCTACGAGTCAATGAGGGGGTTCTGACAAGTCCGGATTCCCAGACTCTCAGCAGGATCATTCTCGAATAGAAATATAAAAGTGAAATATTAAAAACCCTGGAACGTGAACTCCATCTGCAGAGTAGCCAGTGCCTTGCCTGCTTGCACTATGGGAAAAAAAGATCTTGAAAAAAGAAGGAGGAGGAAAAAAGTGCTTTGAGTAGACGTTTACAGGTTTAGTAGAGCATAGTAACATCTCCTCAAAGAAGTGGGTGTTGTTCTGTGACCCCCCAAAATACTCCTCCTTTGACTCAACTGCCAGAACACTCACCCTCCACCCACCACCCCCAAGACACCCCTGTGTTGTTCTGTGACCCCCCAAAATACTCCTCCTTTGACTCAACTGCCAGAACACTCACCCTCCACCCCCCCAAGACACCCCCTTTTCACATGCTAACCAAGGTTCCCTGATTGGTTGGACAATAAACTGGTCACACTTGCTAAATGACTGCCATCTTTCACACAATTAGCCAAGACACATTAATCAAACTGGCGGGGAACTGGAGCTATGCTGGCCTCCTGCTGTGGAGGAGGGGAGAGATTTTGGTGATCCTTCATAAGAGTCCACAGGAAGCAACAATAAAGACCAGCATGCTGGGGGATTCCACCATCAGTAAGTCTGAAAAGGTTAAAGCCCCAGTTGATGCCCTCTCTGGGATGTACTGGGTTTGTGGTTCAGAAGATCACAGACACTTAGAACAAACCAGATGACAAACCAGATGTTCACCTTGGCTAAAATCTG